GAGAGAGAGAGAGATCATCAGGAATGCAGAAGGAGCCAACCTTAGGAAATTAAAATGGAAGCAAAGGTTCACATAGACTCGTTTTCAGATGTGCAAGTGAAACAAGATAAAAGCTTGACAAAGAAGAATCAATCCAGACTAAGTATTGACGAAGTCTTTTAAATATGAAAGAAGATTCCATGGTACAAAGAAAAATGTGCGGTTTCTTTTTTTTTGATGCTGTTGACTGAAGAAAAATGTTCAGTTTTAATAAATTTAAAGAAGGAAAATTTATCAGACTATAAATCAGAGATCAATTATTTAACATTTCATCCAATCCAACAATTGACGACCCAGGATGGCATGTCCTGGTCATTTAAAATTTGATTAAAAAAGAAATTATATCAGAAGAACCGAATGAGACGTTAGATAGTTCAACTCTTTAGTGTGGTTTGATAAAATTCCCCTTCAAACAAAATAACAGTTTCTGGTATGTAGATGAATGCAAGGAGCAGATTATATATCCTCAATCTCGCAGAAAAAAGGACAGTTCAGGTTAGCTAGTCTTAAGAGTCATGTAAATACAAATTTACCCAAATATGAGTACCATGTGTCATTGTATCTTGAACCAAATTTGTAGATTTCAACATCTTTCACCAGTTTCCTCCAAGATATATTGCAAATGCCTCAGCATTTATTTTGTAAGAATTGCCCACCTCTGTATAAAAGGTCCTAGACTTACTGTTCTGCTATGCCTCTATATTTCACAAATTCAATTTTTTCTCTAATTTTTGGCAAGGCTTCACTTTATTTAGAAAATTTTTCCATTTTGTCAAGTTAAACAAATGCTGACAAGTAGTATCCAATAATGATGGAACTTCATCACTCCACACAGAGAGAGAGAGAGAGAGAGAGAGAGAGAGAGAGAGAGAGAGAGAGAGAGAGAGAGAGAGAGAGAGAGTACGTAGACGTACGTAGGTAAGGAAGTACGTTACGTTACGTACGTACGAGTACGACGACGTACGTTACGTTACGT